GTTTTTGCAAAATGATAGTTGAGCAATTTTTAATAATATCTATCACAGATATTTTTCAGATATGTGCACCAGTATTTATATTAAGTTTTAGCATTTTGCCTTACTACCAGACTATAATATATACAGGGTGGTCCGAACTGTATTCCGGAAACTTCGGCAGCATATTCTGCAGATAAAAGTAAGTAAAAAAAAATCAAATGTATGTCCTAAAATGCCTAGTTTCGGAGATACAGGATGTAGAAGTTTCATAGTTATTTCGATTTTTTCCAAATAATTTCTGAAGTAACGTCAATATTTGGATGAAAATTGGTGCTTAGGACTCCTACTTGTAGAGGGCGCTACCTACATATTTTTTAACTAATTTGAAGAGTAATAACTTTTCGTCCGTACCTGTATAAAACTACTGAGTAGAAAAATAGATATTTACGACATTTTTTACATAAAAAAAGTCTCTTAGTAAAAATCGCTACGAGTAGTGGTTCTCGAGATATTTGAAATCGAATTTATGAAACCTGTCGTTATTGGCATAAATTAAACATGTTGACTAAATAGTTATTAAACTGGAATCATAAATTTGAAATGTTTTTGTGCCAAAAGTTCAACAGAAACTGTTTTGTCATTTTTTCGAAGAAAAATCATGTCACGGAAATTAATATTTTTTCACTCAGTAGTTTTATACAGGTACGGACAAAAAGTTATTACTTTTCAAAGCAATTAAAACAAATGTAGGTGGCGCCCTCTACAAGTAGGAATCATACTGACATCAAAATCGAATTTCTCATGCCAAAAAACTTCCAGACACCACTTTTAATCTAAATATTAACGTTATTTCAGAAATTATTTGGAAAAAATCGAAATAAAAATGAAACTTCTACACCCTGTATCTCCGAAACTAAGCATTTTAAGACATACATTTATATGAACTTTTTTACTTATTTTTATCTGCAGAATATGCTGCCAAAGTTTCCGGAATACAATTCGGACCACCCTGTAGATTAATAGATTAAGTAGGTACCTTGTTCTAGACCTCGCCATCATTTTTTCTTTAAACTTGTTGTAATTTTTCCTTTAAAATCAATAAACCCATTTATTATTATTATTCTTTCTCTACTAAGTTTTATTAATGGCTGTTATAATATATGTTATATATTACTGATATACCTACACATTTGTTTTATTTTATATGGAATATTTTATTACTGAAGGTAAATATCAAAGGAATTATGCTGATGTCTTTACTGTATTTTTATTTCATGAACTATAGTATGTAAGGCAATAATGCAATTACTAAATACAAACTATATCTTCGTACGTTCTATTTAAATATATACTTATATACAATTATATACCATTTATTCAATAATTTTCATACTAGACTAGATGTATATCTACTTACTACATCTTATTATAATTATTATTTCGTTTTATCTCAACTACATGCGTTGGTTTCTCGTGGTTGGAGGAGTGAGTCGTCCCAACCATGATGGTGATAACTTTTCTGGCTTAGAAACGTTCCCGGTTAAGTTACATGTATAGAAATCGCCTTGCTGTATGGCAGGTGTTAAGGATTACAGATTTTTGCATAAGTTGGTACTGGTATGGTTCTAAGTCTATTGCCCTCAGCGATTCAATTAGTGTTTTTGGTATTACACCCATATTCGATAGTACCAATGGGATGACCCGGACTCGATCGTATTTCCACATATCCTTAATTTCAAAGCATAAATCAATATATTTGGTAATCTTCTCTCTGTATGTTTGTGTTAGGTTATTGTTGTTTGTCACCGCAAAATCAATGAGCAACACTTCATTTTCTTTTTTCTTCTTCACTACTATATATCTGGTATATTGTGTTCTAGTCTTTTATCTGTTATTAAAGTTCTGTCCCAGTACATTTCATATTCATTGTTTTCAAGGATTGTAGCAGGTTCGTACTGATAATAGTCAACTTTATGCTCTATGAGTTTATATTTCAATGCTAGTTCCTGGTGTATGATTTTTCCCACTTGGTCGTGTCTAAATTTGTAGTCACTCTGTGCTATAGCTTGGCATCCTCCTATGACGTGATGTATTATCTCACTTGCTTTCTTACACCTTCAGCATAAGTCAGACTCAATTCCGTCCTTTAAGATGTATCTTCGGTAGTTATTGGTCTTAATCACTTGATCTTGGATGGCTATAAAAAACTCTTCAGTTTCCGGTTGTAGCTCTCCACGTTTTAACCAATTGTACGACGCTTGTTTGTTGACAGTGTCTTGGTCTAAGTCATGGGGAAACCTTCCGTGTAGAGCCTTTTCTTTCCAGCGGGTAAGCTTGTCTGCGCCTTCCACTATGGACCAGGTTTTTTCTTCGTCACTTAGTATTAGTGGGGTGTATTTATCTGCTTTTACAATAGCTCTATAGTATTGAGATTCTGCTTGTCTTGAGTAGAAGTATTATCTGTATTATTATTATTATTATTATATAGTTTGTACGTAAAAGAATAGAGCGGACACGACAAAAGACCTAAGTAATATATGTCATCAACAGAAAAAAAATCTCTCAAGTGGCAATGGGCAGGATACCTGGCAAGAAGAACGGACAACAGATGGACCACAACAATTATTACAGCATGGTACTCACGAGGAATTAAGAAACCTAGAAGAAGACTAAACCTGAGATGGGACCATGATATTAGGAAATTAGCAGAGATAATTTGGGCCTGCATAACCAACAATAGACAACAATGGGGCGAATTACAATGCGAGTATCTAAATATGTGAGGGAGGTTACACCATAATTGTAAATAGTTGAATAAGCTGAAAATCATGATGATGAGGATGATAGTCTGTCGAAAGAGCAAATCTTTGACATTCATAGTCTGTCATTTTCGAGAGAAACCAATAAAACCACCTAAAAATAACGAGACGTCCAACCACCTAATATTACATTATATAAAACAATTCATAATTAACTACAAAATATATAAATTTCTTTTTAGTGAAAGACATGGATTAGCATTGCTCTTGCTTTTTTCTGTCATCATCTGTCCAAATCTTCAAACACATCAAAGTTTTAAATGAGCTTATTTAGAATTGTGGAATACTCATGCTACCTTGTATAATTGACACACTCACGTTATTGATCTAATTATAAACAAGTTTATAATACTATTAAAAATTATGTAATTATATTCAATTGCAATACTAAAAATACTGTAAAAATAATATACCGAGTGGTACATCTCCGTTGAAAACATAGCAAATCCCATGCAAATATTGGCTCCCCTGCTGATTTCATAGCGAATTCGTAAATAGGTATTTTAAAGGTCTGTGTATGCTGAATACACTTGCCAATATCTGAAGAATTTTGAACTAGCATTTGCATTTTTTTGCATTGATTTTAACTAATTTAATTTAAATTTAATTTGAAACTGAACAACGCAAAACCAGGCAAATGCTAATAATGACATTTAGTTGTCAATCTATGATTTTGTGAATGTCAAATTGTATTTTCTGTACAATAAAGCTTTTGCCTAATTCGAAGAAGTTTTAAATTACAAAATGCACTTCGAAGACACTAATCGCAGGTAGTATAACTTAGTAGTGTAGACAGCACAACAAATTACAAAATGAATTGTTTCACCAATCAAACATCGAGAGCCTTAAATGTTATAATTAAAGAACATAAAGATTATTTAATTAAGGGAGATTTTCACAAATCTAAGATTTGTCAGCATTCATGGGACACAGGGCACAGAATAAATTTTAATAACGCCAAAATTATAATGAAAAAAGCGATAGCCTCTAAAAGAAAAATAAAAGAGGCTTTTTTGTATTTTTTTTTGCTTCCGACGACGGAAAGAGATAAACTTTCCGAAACGTTAAGCATTTTTTTCTTTGTTAGGCAAATTTGTATAACTGTAAACATAACTTCTGACATGTAGTGTCCGTTTGGGTTTAACGCAGAAGTGTTTACAAAAATAACTATTTTATTTTGTAGATTCTCTTGCAGTGCAGTGGCGAAATACCCACAGAGGATTTTTTTGGAGACAACAAATTACATTTGACAATGACAAAATCATAAGTTGACAACTTAAGGTATGTTGAGATTTGTCTGGTTATGCATTATTAGCTTGTTTTCAGTTTTAATTTAAAAATAGATGCAGTTTTTCTTAAATTAGATAAAATCGGCTTATTCAAAATTGTTCAGATTTGGCATGTGTATCTCTAAAATCGATAGGGGAGCCAATATTATGTACACAGTTCAAAATTTGCATGGGATTTCTTGTTTCCAATACCGATGCACCACCCGGTATATGTTATTATAAACATAATTACCAAGTAAACATACGAACATAATATCATATACCGTATTATCGAAAAAAAACGGCGTCCAGTTGGCTTGGAAATGACGATCGATGACATTTCCCATCTAAATTTACATATAAAATGACAGCGATCTTCATTTCATAGCCATCGTTGACGCCGTTTTTATTCGATCATACGGTATATGCTTGCTCTATCTCATTTGAGATAAATGAATTAAAGAATATGTACAGATAACCAAACCAAACCACTACCAAATAGTATTATAATATAATTTAATAAAAAAATAGTATAATACGGTAATATCAATATATTTAAATGACTAAATAAAATAATTTATAAACATTTCATTGAATACTTGAAAAAAAAGGAAATTATTCATGAACTGCATTCCTCATTATTAGCGCCACTTTTTTTTAACAAGTGTCGCTATCACTTGGCACGCCACGCACCTATCGCACTTTCTTTAACGACTTTATGCAATACCAATTATAAAAAATCGAATTTTGAACCACTTTTGATTATTAATGAACCACGCGTTGGCGTACCAAACAGGTATCAATTCAACTCACGCAAAAATTAAACTATTTCACGAAATACACGCTGCCGGTAAAATTAATGAATTAGAGTTAATTTGAATTATATTCATTCAGAGGTTAACTAATTTTTCAGACAAAAATATGAAGAACTTACCTTAAACAAATTTGGTGGATTTTTTTTCACAATTCAAGTACTATTTCTTCTGGGAGTTTTTTTTTAAATAAAACAATGTCACATCACTAGATGTAGATAAAACTTATAAAAAATAACACACTATGGGCACAATAAATAAAAATAAAAGTCTCTTTTTCTCGAAATGTTTTTATTCGCGTAACAAATTCGAGCTCTTCGCGATCGCGCTGCTGCTGCTGCTGCCGACAACGATGCAGGAACGAACTGTAATAAGCAGGAATCCCAAGTTCCCCATGCCGGCAAAACATCTAAGGCGCAACCACTTGCACAGTACATCTCTCTTCATCGAACAGCTCCGAGTTCGGTCGATGTCCATCCGGTCAGTTGCGACGAGTGCTTTCCTTGTTCGGTACGTGACACAGATGGAGAAAAACATAACCAGTTGACAAGTCCAGGAGAGTTTATGATAGAAATGGGATGTTGATATTTTTGGTTATGGTATGTTGTGTTTGGCGAGCGAGATGTGTGTTTATCACATGGTTGTGATTTCCAACAATAAAAAACAATTTGGTAGAATATTATAAATTAAGTAATATTCTAAAACGGTGTTGTTGCAGTTGCTGTCCAGTGAATGGGATGTTATTAAATATTATTTAGATATTTAATGCCGATCAAGTGTTCGATATTATGACGTAAGTTTTTTATATGTATATTCTTTAATGTTAATGATCATTATTATTAAAAACTCGAATTAAAAATGGGGAATATGGTAAATATTTTTGTTTTTAAAATTTAACCTCAATTTATTGTGTTAGTATCTCATACATGTCTTAATATAAAAATGTATAAGTATGCTTAATATTATAATTATTTTATCATAATATACAATCAAACAACGTTTGGGCGCCAAAAAATAGCTAGTGAGTTCTATGTCTAACCCCACTTCTTTAACTTGGTCTCGACTTAGATCTGATACCGGTGTTGTCCCGAATCTATAATAGAGGATATATCCCTCTTTCTCTATTGACTCCTTGGATTTGAGGTCAATTCCTATTGTGGGGACCTGATCATGGTTCTCCTCCCTCGAGATGATGACTCGCCAACTCACTGTCCTTATATTGGAATTCTGAGCCTGGATAAGGCTCAGCAGATAGTGTCAGCCGCCTGTAGTTCCCTTTGAAATTGGTCCCTTGAATTTTGATAATGTTTCAGTGTTGCTAGGGGGTTTCCCCACAGAAATTAATTTGTAGGTTTTAGCGTTAGTTAACCTAGTCACTTACAGGGGTCAAATTTCCACGTGGACGTCTCTGATCGGGATATTTTTGCAGAATTAAAACCAGGTCTAAAGATTCTGAAAGTTTAGGCAATTAAAATAAGTGATTTGTGAGGAAGAAACAGAAATTATCATTGCTATGTTGGTTATTCTTACATTTGGCAAGATTATTACCAAATTTGTTACAATAGACAATAGACTCTTGCAATGTCCATTATTGTTCAAATTTGTCACATTTCAGTCAGCACTGCGAGTCATCATTCTATAGATAGGAATTGTTAAGGGTGCTTTCGCTAAAAAGCTATACCTAAGGAGATCATGGACTATGGAAAATAATGTATCATATTATGAAGTGAAGGTTAAACATCCTCCCCTTGGCAATCGGTTAGCTAATATTAAAAACGTTCCTAGAACATAAAAACACAATAACGAAGATAGTGGCATTAAAAACATTCAAACGAGAATCTTAACAATGTCATTATCATAAAGGAAAGCAATTATAATTGTCTTATGGATTGGTTTAGTAGTAATGGATTGTGTATTTCTACTTATAAAACCAAGGCCCTATTTACGCGAAAAAAGACCGATTTTGCTACGAATCAATCAACTCTAGGCTATAACTATAATGCGGGTAGAACCTTAGATTGATATATGATTAACGGTTTCCCTGTCATCTGCATATCTGGCATCTATGCATGGTGAACTTGCTTTAGCTTGTCTCTTTGGAGAACTTGCTTTAGTTCCCCAGAGTATACTTTAATAAAACGTATACAAAGGCAACCTTATAACTCTCGAAAAATATGTAGAAAGCAACTTTAGTCTATAAGTTTTATTGAGATGAATTGATACTCCAACGAATGTATTATTATCCGTGTACGTAATTACATACTTCTTTTTGTAGCAGAAAAGTCTGGTAATGCCAAAAATGTGTCTCAAGAGGCAACTCCAATATATCTTATCGACTTATATACTCCCTGTAATGAGGACTTGTGATATTCTCTATGTTTTAAAAGGAATTTAAATTTGCAGTTATAAGATTTCGTGTGGGAAAACTCTAGTCTAGACGGTGAAGGCTGCTCATGATAGTTAGATTATGAGATTTATCATTATTCAGTTTTAATCATCTGCTGATGATGCTAACATGGTTAGCAAAACGCGAGTCCAGTGCAAAAGTGATTGTGTGATGATGTGTTGTGGTGAATTAGTGTTTTATTTTGCTGTTTAACACCAAAAGTTTCAACCCTCAACTGTAAGAAGTTGATTTTTACTGAAGTCTCGTTGGACCAGACTATACAAGATATGGCGTAGGAGTGTTCAAGGTATGAAAGAAATATTCTTCACTAGGCAAATGAATGAAATTTACTCTGTTCTGCTTCCATTTTAAAGGCGAGAAAATTACTATTCTGTTAGACTCCGAGAGTGCCCTCCAAGTATTACTTTAGAATATAGGTCTCTTGTAGAGGGGGAAAGTAACAAGCAGAATCAAAAAACCTATCATTTCTCTGATACAACAAGGTAAATCTATTATATCGCGTATAAGCGAATATATTGGCTTCACATGACAGGAAGGTAGAACCTGATTACATAATAATATAAAAAAAAACTTATAATAGTATTGAATTCCTTCAACATTCTTTAATAAAACATCAACATTCTTTAATAAAATGGTCAGTCTAGAAAGGAAAGTTTTATTATAATATATAACACCCTCTCTGGATGAATGCTCATCTATTAGTATCCAAGCTATCCCGAAGGATTCACTTTCGCCCAATGTTTACAGCAACAAGTAAGTGGCCATATCTGTATTAGGTCTAGAATTCGTATTTTTCAACTCTCAGAAGAAGTCAAGACGCTAAATAATAAACGCCTGTCAGATCAGACACCAGAACTATCCGATTTTTTTTATAATTATTAAAGTACAAATAGCCAGTCAACTGATTTTATCAATAGCAACTTAGGCATTCGAAACTTAAATGTAAACCGATCGGAAACAAATTGAGACTTTTGAACCATATTGTATCGTTATAGGCAACCAACAACTAAGTATCGTGGACTGAATAAACATAGGACAACTACAAGAAAGACTGTTATAGTACTGAAAGAATCTCTTATTTAAAACACTTTGGTCATATAGTCAGAAGAATAAGCGAGATGGGAATAGATACATTCGAGAGTACAGGGTGTCCCACTAAGAATAGCTCTCGGCTGTATCTCGGAAAGTATTAGCCGTAGGGTCTGCGGAAAAAATATTTATAACTAAAGAGGCTATGAGAAATTGCTGGAAATTATTTTCAAATTTGTAGAACGACCGCTAGGGGGGCGCAACTACAACAAAAAATAAGAAAATGGAGTTTTTACACAATTTTGCCTAAATAAGGTGTACTATAATTAATAGCTTCTTAATCTTCAGTAAATTTTGAATATTTTTTGTTAGAGCCGTTTTCCCCTATCTACAAAAATAAAGTGGTGGGGGAAGGTTAGATCTGTTTTTATTTAAATATTAATAACTCTGGACTGGATGATCGGAAATCAACAAGCGAGGGCTCGTTTAAAAGAGGGTTTCTTACTCTATATTACACCATATAAACAATAATAATGAGCTTTTGAACGTAGACGCTAAGGGGCGTTGTCTTACAATTTAACAAACATTGCGCGTTTTTTTCAAAAAAATTAAATGCAATAGTGTATGTAATTTTAGCTGATCGTAAAAAGTAGTAAAAGCTTAAAAAGTCAGCGAAAACCGCATCTTCTGTGGTATCTTCTTTCAAACCGAAGATATTAGCAAAATAATAATAAATACCAAAAAATAAGCCTTTAATTACCTTATTTTTACAACACGGTATCAGTAGCCCTCTTGATTATGCCCATTCTAACAAAAAATAAGATACAAACAGTTAGTTTATTTTAAAATCGACGAAATACCAGAATACCATAATATTAAGAATACCAGAAGTATTAATATCTAATAATTAAGATATTAATAACAGTGGACAAGAAACGATGATTCAGTGAGGTCATGGTAGGCTTTGGAAAAAAGTTGCTTTTGACGTAATAGTATAAACGTCAAATTGTTATTAGATCTACATTTTGATAGTCTGATAATTGATATTTTGGTAACTATGCGGTTGTCCGTTTAGTCCAGCCTCAGTTTCTTGAATGAAAGATACTCGTAACCAACAATTAATACATTATTGTGAAATTACAAAATATTATATTTTCTATAAGTCAGTACATTGATCCCAGGCTTTATTTACATTTTTGTAGTGTACCACGAGAAAATAAATAAATCCTAATCGCCTGTATCTGTGTATACGATATATAAGTATTCCTTCTAAAGTACCTACTATTTTTCCTGTCATTGTTTGCTTTCGGATATAAAGTTCAATTAAAGTTGCTTGTTTGCAATATGAACATACAGTTCATAGCAAATAAACTTTTAGTCACGTAATTAAGCTTTACCGGCACAGCGCGTTGCCCACTTTTATTTTGATATTTTTTTTAATCAAAATATTTTAGGAAACAAAAATAAATTTATTATAAATATATAAACACCTATTATTTACATCAACAAAACTCTCTCACCTTCTTAATAGCACTTAATTGACATAAAGGGCCATTACTACCGCTTTCCCGTTAAAAATATTCTAATAAAGTTGGGATGAATTTTTTACGGCTATTAAGCCATCTTGCACCACTTCGCACTAAAAGATGTGCTAAAAAGAACAATGTTCGAGTGCAAGGTCTGCTAGTAAACGTCTTCAAGCTTAAAGTACCACAACACTATTTATTTAAATCTATCACACAATGAAAACCTAAAAAAGATATTACCGTAGAAACGCATTTTGATTTTTTCAACTATATTTTGATATTTTTTTAATTTATGGCAATTTGGAAAAGTATAAATGTCATTAATCATTTTAAAACAGCAAAAACATATAAAAATGCGTTTTTCTCAAAAGAGGAAGTAATAAAAAACTTTTCCTCTTGTAAAGACTCTCCAGGGACAATGTATACAGGGTGGTCCTAATTGTATTCCGGAAACTTCGGCAGCATATTCTACAGATAAAAATATGGAAAAAAGTTCATATAAATCTATGTCCTAAAATGCTTAGTTTCGGAGATACAGGGTGTAGAAGTTTCATTTTTATTTCGATTTTGTCTAAATAATTTCTGAAGTAATATCAATATATGGATGAAAGTTGGTGTCTGGTAGTTTTTTTTTATATGAGAAATTTTATTTTGGTATCAATATGATTCCTATTTGTAGGGGGAGCCACCTACATGTATTTTAACTGTTTTGAAGAGTAATAACTTTTTGTCCGTATCTGTATAAAACTACTGAGTGAAAAAATATATGTATATTTTTTAAAACATGGATTTTAGAATGGTAACAGTCAATACATGTCATTATTGACAAAAAATAAACGTGTTGAGTAAATAGTAATTTGACTAAAATGATAAATTTGTGAACTTTTTATTTTTTTAAATTAATCATAAATTTTTCTTCAAAAAAATGATAATAAAATAGTTTCTGTTGAACTTTTGGCACCAAAACATTTGAAATTTATGATTTCAGTCTAATAACTATTTAGTCAACATGTTTAATTTATGTCAATGACGACAGGTACTTATATTTCGAATCCAAATATCTGGAAAGCCATTACTCGTAGCGATTTTTACAAGGAGACTTTTTTTACGTAAAAAATGTCGTAAATGTATATTTTTTTACTCAGTAGTTTTATACAGGTACGGACAAAAAGTTATTACTCTTCAAACCAGTTAAAAAATATGTAGGTGGCGCCCTCTACAAGTAGGAGTCATATTGACATCAAAATCAAATTTGTCATGTCAAAAAACTCTCAAACACCAATTTTCATTTAAATATTGACGTTATTTCAGAAATTATTTGGAAAAAATAAAAATGAAATTTTAACACCCTGTATGTCCGAAACTAGGCATTTTAGGACATAGCTTTATACGAACTTTTTTACTTACTTTTATCTGCAGAATATGCTGCCGAGGTTTCCGGAATACAGTTCGGACCACCCTGTATATTTCTGAGGTGTCCTCTGTGAGATTTCTGGGTTTTATGTGAAAGAATTATGTTTTATGTGTAACGAGTAATTTTTTGTGAAAATTTGAGATATCAAAATTAAATACCAAAAAAATTAATAGAGAACATATTTTCTCCAAAAAAATCCTGTATGGGTATTTCGCCACTGCAAGACAACTGACAAAGCAATCCACAAACCACTGCAAGACACTGCAAAGCAATCTACAAAATAAAATAGTTATTTTTTGTAAACACTGCTGGCGTTAATTGAATGGAAATTACATGTCAGCAGTTAAGTTTATAGTTAATAGGGAATAGTTGAATTTAAAATATTTTAAATATATTTTTTTCTTTATTCTTTGTATTTTTGTTTGCTTCCGACGACGGAAAGAGATAAACTTTCCGAAACGTTAAGCATTTTTTAGGTCGTTAGGCAAATTTGTTTATCTGTAAACTTAACTGCTGACATGTAGTTTCCGTTCGATTAACGCCAGCAGTGTTTACAAAAAATAACTATTTTATTTTGTAGATTTTCTTGCAGTGGCGAAATGCCCGTACAGGATTTTTTTGGAGAGATGAATCCGCCACATAGGTAGGGTAAGTCCGGTACAGATGCCCCACCGGGTGAGATGGCCACAGCGTGTAAATTTCTAATCATGTGACTTATCATCAGGTGCTTCCCGCTAGATACGGCAGTAGTTCACCTGCTGTTATTATGGTCTGACATAATTTGAATGTCAATAAAAAAATAGGCTAGTTTTTACAAAGAACTGTTTTTATATATATGCGTGTATTTTACTGTAGTAATTAACCGGGAGAAGTAGTCACTACAGTTATTTTCTAATAAGAAGATATATGACTATCAAAATCTGAAGACATGGAAGATTAAAGGTTGATTCTCACTATACCTTCCGTTTCCTTTCCATATCGAAGAAGTTTCTGGGGGCTTATGATCAAGAAAAATCACAGATCTTCCTGGGTCTGAGTAAAAACAATCTTCGAATTGTCACGGGGTTTTTAACAGGACACTGTCTCCTCAATGAACACCTCAGTAGATTGAAACTAAGAAGAAACGGCGAATGCAGATTCTGTGGGGAAGATGGTGAAACACCAGTACACCTCATCACTGAGTGCGCCGAGACGATAACCATTCGTGCCATGAATTTTGGTACGACTGATATTGGAGATGGAGAACTACCCTCTATAAAACCGTCCCAGATACTGGCTTTTGTCAAAGCCCTGGGACTGTATGATGAGTTATGATTCAAGAAAGGGGGACACAATGGATCTGTAAGGTCGAATTGATTAACCCCCCTCCCACTCATTCTAAAAAAAAAAAAATTCCTTTCCATATCCATTCCATATCCGTTCCGTATTTTTTATTGTATTGACGCTATACGTAAGTCCGTTCCGTATCAGTTCCATACTTTTTATTGTACGATTTATATCATTACGAAAGTTTTATTTAAAAAATTTGTATCTTTTGAAAAAGGTAATAGATTTAATTAAGAGGTGAAAGAATAAATAAATATCAGCAAAATGATAACAGAGCTGGTAGAAATGTAAGAACTTGATAACGCTGTTTCCTATACGCTTCAGTCCGTCCGCCAAAAAATGTATTGAAGGAAAGGATATGGAACGGAAGGGAAACGGAACGGATAGTGTGCATAGTCCTGTTCATTTACATGATATATTATTTTATGAAACGGAAGGAAAACGGAAGGGAGCTGATATGGAAGGTATAGTGAGAATCATCCTTTATACATATACTATACTGCCATTACTCGCTGACGAGTATTTGACACGCATCAGAAGAGGTCACGCAAGGCGTTTTCTTTCATGAGCTTTTCTGTGACTGAAAGGCCCGTGATAAAGGATACGTGATGTTTTCTGTCTACCGCACTCCGTATATTCAAAAATCTCATTGCTTTTTTGCCTCTTTACTTTTTAATTGTCGCTGTTAACTGAGTTTACAATTCTTCTCCAATGAGTTCTATTGTGAGCTTCCCACACATTCTGCATGTTAATCCCTTTTAAGTTTTCGTGGAAAATATCCTTGTATCTTTTGAGTTGTCCACCCGGCGCCGGCGTCCTCTTACCGTCTTCATAAGCTCACCGTAAAGCAGATATTTTGGTATGCGATTTTTTGCATTCTGCATAGGTGACCAGTCCATCTTAAGCGGGGTTTTGTAACCATCACTCCAATACTCTCGCAGTTAGCTTTTTCAAGGACCGATACGTTTGAGACGTGATGGAACCATTTGATTCTTAAGAGTTGTCTAAGGTGTTTCTGTTGCAACTTGTTTAAGGCGTTCATATGTCGGCGGTACGGCGCCCAAGTTTCTCCCCCTTCCAACATGGTGGGGATTATTATTGCTCGGTACACTGCAAGTTTCGTTTTTGTCACAACAACACAGAAAAAGCAAGCATAGGGCCGTCCTCAACTTTTGGATATTAGTAATAAAAAATAACCTTAGATATTTAACCAATATGTATATGTATTTTTTTGCGGGGCATTTCTCCCATGTTGGGAAGGCCATCTCTCCCGCAAGGTAGGGAGAGATGGCCAATTTTCTATTTTTTTATTGTTCTCTTACTATTATATATATTTACTTATTATATTAGTATCTTAGTCCTATTATGAATTATTATTAAAGATAGTTTAGGATTGCATCATTAGTTTCATTTAAAATTAACTATCAATATGTATTATTAGCCCTATAAGAAAAGTGGTGCATCTCACCGGACTTACCCTATAGACATTTTTTAAAACATCTTTTATTTCATGAAAACTTTATAATTAATACCACAAATAATGTCAAAAATTGCTTATAACAAAGAATTTTGTAAGACTATTAAAACAACAAAGATATATAGAGAGATTTTAAAGATATTTCTTTAACTTTATCCGGAACTGTTGTAATAGTCCACATTATTTTTCTTAGTCAGTGTGACGGGTACATTTCCTCAGGAAGCCTGGAAAAAGATTTGCTGTCCGTAGCTACACAAAAAGAGAAATTGAAGTGGATGAAATTGACAGGTGAAATGTTAGATGTCGATTATACCGTTTTATTTCCGAAACCTTTGTCGGAAACATTAATGGATAGACTGGAACAAATTGTCGAATATTACACTGGTGATCTTACAAAAGTACGTATAAATTGATTATCGTTACCTATTATTAGAACGTGATAAAAAAACGAAGATTATAAACTAAAAAGTGGCTTAACAAAAAATATCGGCCTATTGTATGGTTATACAATAATACAATTACATTATGTGTATCTATTACGATTATGTACCTAAATTCAACAATTTCCGAATTATGAAGTTTTGAAATGTTAAACGATGTGTTTGAGGGTTTTGAAATGTTAAGCGAAAATTTTGTAATTTCCGGACTTGATATAATCTCATTTAATCTATACTAATTTATAAAATCCTTAAGTGACTGACATACTGATTAATCACGATCCTGCTCCACAACAACCAAACCACTCAACGTAAGAAGCTCAATTTTGGCATACAGGTTGATTCTAGGGTGCAGAGGTTCGATAAGAAGGAATTTTTCCAAATTCCAGTTCCAAGAGGGTGAAACCACCCCTCAAAACCACCCCTTTTTATTTAAAAAACGGTCAAGTTTCCGAAAAAACGCTTAAACACGGATATTTTATTTTGTTTTTTTACATATTTTAACATTTTTTAAAAATGTATACAGGGTGTTTCGAAAAATCTGGTCATTGATTAATCACGATCCTGCTTAAAGCGCTTGACGTAAAAAGCTGATTTTTGGAAAACAGATTGACTTTAGGGTGTAGAGGTTCGATAAGAAGGGATTTTTCGAAACTCGAATTCTAAGAGGGCGAAACTATCCCTGAAATATTAAAATATTTTTTTATTTAAAAACCGGTGAGTTTTTCGAAATAACTCTTAAACACGGATATTTTATTTCGTTTTGGTTTGGTTTGGATTTTTGGTTTGGTTTGGTTTTACATATTTTAAGATTTTTTATAAATTTATACAGGGTGTTTCATAAAATATGACCATTGAGTAATCACGATTCTGTTTAAACTGCTTGACGTTTAAAGTTGATTGTTGGCAAACGGATTGACTGTGTAGGTTCGATAAGGAGGGGTTTCTCGAATCTCAAATTCAAAGAGGGTGAAAACGCCCCTCAAATATTACAACATTTATTTGTTATTTAAAAAACGATTAGTCTTTCGGGAAAACGCTTGGATGCGCATAATTTATTTTGTTTTTTACATATTTTGAAATATTTTAAGAAATCATACAAGGTATTCCAATAAGTTGGGTAATTGATTAACCACGATTCTGCTTAAAGGGCTTGACGTAAAAAGCTTATTTTTGGCAAACAGATTTTTCGAAAGTCAAATTCCAGAGAGATGAAACTACCCCTCATATATTACCAAGGTATATAATAATATCGCCATATTGTTTTTTCTCATGCTGACATAATTGTGAGAAAATTTTATCCAGTTTGTATGTTAATGGAAATTTTTGCTTTGCTTTATCATCACCATTACAAATGATTAATTTGACGCGAACGAAGTCGCTGCTACACGCTAGTACATCTATAAATGCTAACTTGAAAACTAATGTCAAATATAATTTAAGTATCACAGTTTCCGCAGAATGGCATCGTTAAATAAAATCAAAGATATCGAAATTAATTAAATCGAATTGTTTAAGTAATATTTTCAAAAGTCAATAACTCGGAAACGTTTGGTTTGAGGTACATGGGGTACGTTGGGCGATCTTGATTTTTGCTTAGAATTGAAGGGAGAACCGAAATATGCAATAATATACGGGGGTTCCATTACTTTCAGTACTTCATTTTTTTTAAATGGAACCTTTGATTTGCCACGGCTTTCTGACCGATCCTGTATACTTAAATTTATTACCCGCTAACAGATACTTAAAAACCCTGTAACTTTTATTTTTAACTTTTTACGGTACCTCTTATATTTAACTAATAATCGACCGTTCCCATACATATCAGCGATGACCCTGTACAGGGTGGCGCCTCTCATACGCCGCGGAGGCTCCAAGGAACTACAGTTTGTATTGAAAAGAAATTTTATGAGCACGTAGGTTGATTTAGAGCACATTTTAAAAATACAGAGAGTTCTACAGGGTATGCCCAAAAAAAAATTACATGTCAAAGTTGTGTTTTTTCTAATGGAACACTCTATATTGTTGTATTGATTTTCGGATTCCGGGGGAAAAATAAAGGTTACTTTTATAAGAGAAGTGTATGAAAATGTAAGGCTTTTGACATATTTAACATTTTCTAGAAATAAAGAACAATTTTTAAATTACCATAAAATCTACCTAAATTGTAACTTACACGGTATAGCCTAATATGTAGTTAAATTAACTATAGAACTTTAAATCAAATTAAAACTTGATCCAAAAAACTTATACAGGGTGAGACAAAATTAATATTGAACATTGGTCACCTTTAAAAGCATGTTACTCTTTTATTATAAATGGAACACTCAGTATTTTATTTCGATATTTAATGGAGAATTCATGTCTTCATGTCTGTTCAAAATACTATTAAGGTTGCCTACCCCTCAAACAAAGATTTTTCTAGATATTTTCATTTACGCATGATTTGATCTGAGTAGATCTTTATTATTTGATAAAATCTAGGTGGCTATGATATGTTTGACGTTACTTCAACATAGCTGTCTAATTAGTCCAAATTTAACAACTATTTATCATTTTGTGCCAGTTAAAACAAAAAAAATTCTCAGAAATTTGCCGAAAATGCATCAGAAAAGAAGAAAAATGCAACATCAGAGAGAATTGATATGATTCTATTAGTTGGTGAATGCAGTCATGCAGTGTGCATTCACCAATGCTCCTGATTTTATCTAGTCTGTTTTTTTTATTGGGATATATTATAGACAGTGTTTACAAAACTCGACCAACTATTGTCGACAACATGAGAGAAATTATTGTAGCTACTTTTCGAGGTAGAACTTCAAATACGCCTTTTAAAATGAAAAGATCTTTTTGAAAAGACAATCATTTTATGCAGATAACAGGAAAGAAAGCATTTTGAGCATTTGATTTCATCTAGCTAATTTATGTCGCATAATAATTATAGGTTTATATCTAGTTTTAATTCTGTAATAATTAAAATATGTTTTGAACGTGTATCTTTTTATTACCGTTGAGTATTTTACTCTACAATCTTTAATTTTTGTTAAATTAACAAAAGGTATATCACGCAGCCACCTAGATTGTTTCAAATAATAAAGCAAATGCAAAATAATAAAAATTAAAATATCTAGAAAAATCTTTGTCTGAGGGGTAGGCAACTTTAATAATATTTTGTAGGTATATAAATACCCCATTGAACACCGGAAAAATATACTAGGTGTTCCATGTTGTTGCTGGGGTTGAGCCCAGGGGGGGCCTAGCACTTTTGTTTTTTTAAAAATGAAAAATAATTTTAAAAACACATTTTTTAAACAGAACGTTTACATGAATTTCTCTATCAATAAATTTCATAGACTTGGTTATCAAACCGTGTTCCCGTAGATTACTTAAAATACTTACAAATTTTCTAAAAAAATTAAAATTAACACATTTTTGAATACAACAAAATAATATTAACTAAACAAAACTAGAAAACGTCATTTTTACTGCATCACAAGCAAATAAAAATTAATACTTAGCCAAGAGTCATAATTCAGGATTTCTCTGGGGAGTGCTCAGCTGTACCTGGGGGGGGGGGGGGGGCGGCGCCCCCGGGCACCCCTTTAGTTACGCCAATGGGGATTTACTTTTTACATACTTTAAGATTATCAGAGAATCGTCTCATTCACGTTTCCTAACATTTAATTTTACATTTTTTATTACTGTGTAAATCTGCTTTTTAATGGCGAACTTAATAACGTTTAGGGCAGGCTATACGTTCTCGTAGTGACTTTGCTTTTTTGTTATCAAATATCGTTTGTTCCCGTTTGGAAAACTTGGCTTCGTTTCGAATCCACCCTCTCCATGTTTTATTCAGCGTGTGACTACCGAAAACTTTCTAAAGGGCTTTTAGGTGGCGTCTTTTCGCCGTCGTTTAAGCTTTTGCTAATACTTTTTTTGCGATACGGGGAAAGGTGTTTTGAATAACATGTTTCTTTTTTATTGTTCAAGGTGTTTTGAATAACATCTTTTGCTCTTTTTTATTTCAGTTATCAACACACTGCCAAGCGACAATAAACTGACATTAAATTATAATATATTTTTGGAAATAAAATTATTTTTTAATAATAAAATTAATACACTCAGATCATTCAGATGCAAAAAAATGTAACGGAGAAATATTTGGTCAAATTGAAAGTGTTATATTTTTGTTATTTTTAGTCCTATTTTCATGATTTTTCTAGCAAATTGTATATAATTATACCAACTTTAGTTCGTAAACTAAGTTTGTTTATAAACTTTAGTATTTGGCATATTATACAGGGTTAATCGAGGGGTTGTTTTGTTACCTTAACTTTAAAACACCCTGTGCAATAATTTCGTTTGTAAATTTTCCTAAAATATAATTTTATAGTCAAAACCATGACTTCATGTCAATACATGCTTTGGTTAATTTTTAAGAGCGAAATTAACTGATCACGATCAATTTCCAATTTTTCCCATTATCGTTACTTTTTGATGTAATTTTTGGGGTTCCGTACCCAAAGGGTAAAAACGGAAACCCTATTACCAAAACTATTACTAATACTTCGCTATCCGTCCGACTGTCACAAAGATCTATCTTATGAACCGTTATAGCTAGACGGTTGAAATTTTTACAGATAATGTATCTATGTTGCCGCTTTAAGAACAAATACTAAAAACAGAATTAAATAAATGTTTATAAATAAAAAAGTACTTTCACTAAACATTATCTTTTAATTAAGAATTTTATATAGAATCTTAGGACTTTACGCTGCTATGACGTTGGAGCCGTAGTAAGGCAGGTTCGAATCCTAGTCAAGGCGACTTTTTTTAATCGTTTTTTTGTTAATTTTTACATATTTATTATTGATTTATACAATTTTTAGTAATGTGTTTCCTCATTTTTTTTAAAATTACTTATACGCGCGTATACAGGGTGAGTTTCCTACGATGTTCTC